CCCTCGGGGCCGGGGCGTGACTCAGCTCGGGGAGGGTGTCGACTCTCCGGGGCTGGGGATTCGAACTGTTCAGGGCCGTGGATGCTAGCATGAGTGGGGGTGAAAGGGTGATTCCTGCGCTGGGCCCCCGGCAGTTCCGGGGCGTGGGGCCCGGCTGGAGGGGCGAGGGGAGACCGAGGCCGGGCGGGGGGAGCCCTTGCTGCACCCACCACCTTGCCGAGGCCAGGGCCCTCGTGGGGGGTACGGGTGGGCCCTGAGCTTGTGCCCCGGCTCCCCGCCCCAGGACTGCAAGATGCCCGGCGAACAGCAGGCAGAGGAAGAGGAGGAGGAGGAGATGCAGGAAGAGATGGTGCTGCTGGTGAAGGGTGAGGAGGAGGAGGGCGAGGAGAAGTATGAGGTGGTGAAGCTCAAGATCCCCATGGACAACAAGGAGGTAGGTGTCACAGGGCCCCTGAAACTGGGTGACACCCTAGCTACGCCCACTGACAGCAGCCGAGGGTCCGGTCTCCGCTACCCCCATAATCGCTGGCCCATCCTTCAGACCCACCTGGCTCGCTGCAAATTATACAACGCCCAGGCCTTCTGTGCCAGGGATTGTGGCTTGTGCTGGAGAGTCGACTGTAGGCTTGCTTCCTGGGGCACTGATGGCCGGCAGGCTGGAATGACAACGAATCAGGTAGCTGCCATCCAGTGTGGAAACCCAGAGGTAGGGGGATGGATTCAGGCTTAGTGAGGTGGAGGTGGCCAGGTGAGGCCGCTAGGAGAGGTGATCGCAGTAACAACCACTTTCCCATGGCATGTGGTACGTGCCAGACCCTGTTCTGAGCCCCCAGTTCTGTGGGGTAGGCAGTTATTTGTCCCCTTTTACAGGTGAGGAAACTGAGGTCCGAAGAGTTTGGGTAACTGGCTCGGGGCTTCGCAGCTCATAAAAGGCTGGCTAATCCAAGAGCAGGAGGAGTTCTGATGGCTGAAGAGGGGTGACTGCCCAGGCAGAAGGAGCAAGGCTTTCAAAGGTTCGGGAGTGACTTTGCAGTAGCACCTGGACAAGTGAGGGCAGGTGGGTCAGCCCTGCTGTCTCATGGATGAGAGTTCAGGGACTGGCAGGCCAGGCAGGGAAACTAAGTTTTATCTTGAGGGTGCGTCTTATCTTTTAGGAAAGGAGCTGGAAGAGGAGATCAGACTCGGAGTTAGATTTCCTTTCCTGGGCTTCAAATAGGAGCCCCGCTGGCATCGTTGCTACGCATTGGGTAGCGGTCTGCCAGGTCAGCAGTTCAAAACCACCCGCTGCTCCTCAGGAGAAAGGCTGGGTTTTCCACTCCCATAGTTACCCTGCCCTACAGGGTTGCTGTGCGCGGGCATTGACAAGGTGGCAGTGAGAAACCCCAAATGCCACCAGATATATTTCCGCTTCCAGCAGACTCTGGCCACCTTGAGGCAGAGCAGTCTGGTGGCCATCTGTGGGGGAGGGGGTGGGGGGTGGTGGCTCCCACTAGGCCAAGTTTCTGGCCCAGGTTCCCTCTGATGCCTCTGTGTATACGGGCCAGTTTGCAGGCAGAGAAAGTTCTGTTTTCTCGTAGTGGGCATGGCAGGCGCTGGAGGAGGGGACCGGCTCCTCAGACCTCCTCGTCCAGTTGAAACAGCTATCTGGGTCACACTGTGGCCAGCTTCCCTGGCTGGCTTATCAGCCTCGCCTAGCCTGCCTCTTCTGACTCGCTAGGCTCTACGTTATGAATAGGGATTCCAGGGTTCAGGGTAGACTTCCAGCTCCACATCCCTTACCACGTGCTTTGCCCTTTAGGTGCCTCGCTTTCCTCATTTACTAACCAGAAACCACACCAGCACCTACTTCTGGAGGACTGGTTCATTCAGTCAGGTGCTCAGAACAAAATGGACAGATTCACCGCTATCCCGTGCCTTCCTCCAAGTGCAGGACGTTAGGCTAGGTCAGCCTGCGAGAGCGTTTTCAACCAGAGATCTCACTGGACGGCACCCTGATGACTGGGAGAGAACCGGGAAAATAAGAAGGAGCCCTAAAGGGAGGACCAACAAGTCTGGGTAATGAGGAAACGCTTCTGCCTTTGGCCTTGAAGGCTTTGGCAAA